TTAACTTTCTAATTATTTATAATTTTCTAAGATTAATTACTATTATTATTATAGGTCTATCAAATTAAAAATTTATCTTGAATACGCGTATTATTCACATGATTGAGATTACGACACAACTGATCATTGCGTATCAAGGGTAACGTCTCCTCGTGATCAACGGTAAATTAGGTTAATTATCGGTCATAAAATTATAGTCCTGCAGTTTGGATGCGGTCCAAAGCAGCTGGCAGGCAAGCTGAATTCTGTAGAGTAGAACGATCACTGATTCGCCGCGATGCGATGCCAACTTTTGTAACGCGTTCATTAATTACGACAATTATTCAGAGATTCGGATGCGTTAATGATCACATTCTCGTCAGGTGATAATTGGATACATTTAACAACAAACGCTTGCTCGATCGTGTTAATTCACAATGTTCACGTTTAAACGAATTGCAGAAGTAAATTAATCGTTTGTATAAATCTGGGTATATTTTGTCGAAGAGATATGAAAATTATAATTGTGAGATAAAATCTAATTGTGTACATGCATACGTTGATAACTACACATGACTAAGTGGAGGCGTTCTATCAGTTGATTTATAGTCTGCAAGTATCGCTTCGCACTCAATTTATTTATGAACGCTTAACTTATTTTCATTTCTAAACCGATCCTATGGGGACAAGATAAATGCGAATGGCGACGCGATTCGACTGAACGCTTTGTTCCCATGTTTTCGGAATCCCATTCGTGTTCCGTACAGGACAAAGCGGATGCATCGACGTCGCTTCGCTTTTAAGGCTGATAATGGCCGGCCACGGATTTGTAAATTCACGCGATGGATTTCGGTTTAGGTCCGCGCGCATTGTGTATTCCGCATTGTGCGAGACAACGCGACGCGACGCGGCCCGGCGCGATCGCTGCGAAATCCACAACGCCATTTGTCGCCGTTAATTACACCGCAGAATTTTTATTACGCCAACCGGGCAACCGCGTGATCAAGCGTCAATAAACGATGTTTTGCTATCGGTGCTCTGCGTCAACATTAACGCTGAAAATGAAATACGTAATGGGAAATATAAAATGCTTGAATATATAGAACAGAATCTGAGAAATGAAAATGATTTTAGTAAAGCGTATTAGAATCCTTTATTAATATTATATATTATAAAAATCTTGAATTTCATTTACGTATAGACTGGTTTACGTAATCACACATTTTAACACCTTGTATTTATATAACATTCAATCTACAAGAATTGGAGATTAATTCATACATAATAAATTATACTTCATACACGGAAGTACTCGAATTCATCATTCGTTTTTTCTTACAAAAACGATATGTCTGGAGTTTATACTGATTCTCAATCTCTCTCACATTTTCGGATTACATAATTTCCCAAACGATATTGTTGACGACGTAACACGCGATGTTAACAAATATCTTCGTTGGTTAAGAGCTCTACTTCACTGTGCGTCAATAGAAATTTATACATTTTGTGTAACGTCTTAAAGGCAAACACAGCATTAGTCATAAGGCCTCGATTTCTCCTGTGATGATCGTAACGTATGAGGTATTCAAGGTCCGCATTAATTTTCTAAGGTGTTCTACAAGTGTGTTTCTCTGTTAGTTTTACTAGCAGCACGTGTCTTGTGGTGTCGTAATTCTGGGATCGTGCAAGATTGTTAAGAGGAATTCTTGAATTGTAAAAAGTTTTAAGGGGATATTAATTGTACCTGAATTAAAATTTTAAAGAATTGTAATGAAATATTTAACGATAAAACATGACTTTCTATGTCTATAGAATCGTTGATTCTAGCGTGAAATAGAAAATAATTGACATCCTTTCTAGTGCCAGCTAATCGAAAACTATTTTCCGGCAACTATCTCTTAGGCCAACCAATCAACGAGGCAAATGAAATCCGGAGCGGAACCAAAGACCCGGTCCATCCTGAAGCGATCAGAAACTACATCACGAACCTAACACAGACCCCTAACCCCGAAGATGGTTGCGTGCTCGGAGCTGACTGTGTTGCGAAACAATGCCCAACGGCGTTCAGTGAAATTTAATAGCACTGACCGAACGGTCGTCCCTCATTTCTGGAACCCTTGGAAAACCATCTTAAGACGAGGCCATTAACGAGATTCGACGCCTGACCTCGTGCAGGAAATTGTCTCGTTGATAGCGTTCATTTCGCCCCTTTCTACTTGTTAAATTTTTTTTAGTGAGACTTCAAAAGAGGCGGATTGCAGTCGAGACAGGGAAGAAAATGTCCTGAGTTTATTAAGAGGTCCGTCGAATATTAATGCGAGGTGACGTGACAGTAATTAATGAGGCGATTATTGAAATATGCAAAACGACTATCCTATTCCGGCGACGGAACCGAGAAGACGTTTCGCCTGTTCGTTATTCTAGCTATATTGTTCTAAAATAAATAAATTAATTAGAACCTATTCGCACGAGGTACTCTCGATCCGCATTGATTTTGATATGATTTCATCTTTTTATCATTTAAAAAGTCAACATTTATTTTATTGTAATTTATTATAAATATACATCATAGAATAGCTAAGCATAGATTTACGCTATGAACCAGAAGAAGTACTCTGGTGTTATCCTCGTTTGCTTCGATTCTTATGCATTAAGACAGCACAGTGGACACGAAAATGAAAATTGCGGAAATTCTAAGTAGTTTCTTGGTTGGATTAATCCCGACGGCAAGTTGGCAGAGGATAATTGAAAGGTTAATAAGCAGGGCTCAGATTGGCCGACCGGAATTGAGCTAGGGGATCTTGTTAAAATGCATGGCTTCCTTTCGTCGAGAGATCGTCTTACGGAAGAGACGTTCGGTCACAACGAATTCATCAGATCGACGAACATTCGTGACTGTACTTTGGAAATTAGAGTGTTCGTTTATACTGTCGCGACACGCGATTCTCGACTATAAAGTTTGAGTTAAGGGTTCAATATTTAAAATTCAATTCCATTTTATTTTCTACCGAGTATTCTTTTATATAGTAAAAATTTATATGTTTTTATTTAAAAATGAATAAGGAAATTGAAACTATAATAATGTTTCACGTTGTTTGCGTAACAGTGAACTTTTACAAGCAACATGAACACTGGAGTCTGGATATCGATGAGAAATTAATCGATTAAACCAGTTAGCAAAAAATATGCATTGAAATTACGTAAAACGAAATGTTTTACTGTATTTCGGTTCATACAACAGAAATTCTCCAGTTTTTACCAGGTTTTTAAAAAAAATCACTAGTAATTAATCCCTTCACGGCGAACTGCACATCACAATTGTAAAATAAATAAAACTTAATTGGTTTAAAATTCGAAATATCTGTTTTTAATCTGTTTCAAATTCGTATAACATGAACTTCGTTTTTAATATTTTGCATATTTGTAGTTAAAAAACATTCTCGTCACTAACAATTTTGCGTACTGACCATGTCCCATTCTTGGCAGAGGAAATTTACGGAATAAGGCAACAGCACGGCGCGGTTAGAATCGTTCATTTCAAAGTCCATCTATAGTATAATTCCAAAGTTCCCGTTAAGTTCCTCGTTTCCATAGGCGTGTTTTATCGCGGGGAACATTAAAACTTTCGCCCTTAGCGAGAATTACGTTGCGATATAATGGTTCGTGAAAGTGCAACAGAAACGGTGGGACTCGCAAACGCGTACTTTTAATAATGGAATTTCCACCGTTCGTTCCTTTCTTTCCCGCGAAGCCTAGACTCTTCCGTGTTGCGTAACCGATTCATTCTTGGTAAACGTTTGCAATTGCGCTTACACCGCGGTACCCCCGAACGGAGAAACCTATTACGTGAATTTGAACGTATAGCGATTATGAAGATACATAGCAAACTGGGACAAGTAAGTAGTGGATAAACGTGGCTCGCGATGATGCTGTAATATGTTGATCTGTCAATGTAAGCCTTCTGGCTTGAAACATTAAGAGAATTCATTTCTAATGGCATTACAGTATTAATAATGGTGTACAGAATTACACAGTATGATATTACAAATATAAGTTATGTATTGCAATTTATATTTAAGGATTCAATTAAGTGACTTCAAGCTGCTTTTACAGCTCAATCTGATCATAAAATTCCATCTTTAATTATCATTTTTCTTTTTTATCTACCTAAACATTTATCTTGTAATTTACATTTTATATTCTATTTTTACAGACGATTGCCCAAACTGCGTGGATGAGCATAGCGGCAGTCTGGCTGCCTCGAGGTGGACGATGCCGTTGTTGAAGCTGGGCGAGAAGAGATACTACCTGGGGATCTTCTTCAAGGTATCACGTCCGTCAGTCACTTTGATTTATCTAGCAGCCACGCCGGACGCGGCCTGCCGGACATCATCAAATTATTTCCGCGCCCGTAACTTTCCCGCCTCCCTGACGCTTTACACGGTGCATCGAATCTGCCTGCCCGAGGCTGTTACTATCGATCTGTTCACCTGAACATGAATTTACTTCACGCTTCTGCTTTGTGCCGCTCGGAAAAGTACACGGGAAATCAATTTTCACGTGTCAAAATCGACCGACGGACTCATTGTCACAAGGAATGTATTAATATGTACGATTAAATGACGAAACTAGTTGACATCGTTGTATATGTTTAGATCGAAACAAAGATCCTCTTTCATTAACTCACGTCGTCGTCTCTTAAGCCAACTGTATATTCCGAATTTCAACTATCTCTAAGGAGCGAAGCTTACGGCTCCGTCTCTAACACATAATTTCGCTCCTAATTCCTTCGTCTTAAAACGGGGAACGTGTGGCATCGCCTGAGAAGCGATCGATACCGAGAAGTGCCATTAACCTATTTATTACGTATTCGTGTGTAGTTTAAACCCGTCACCCACTTTATCATGCTCTTACCTCTAGCCTAGACCTACTACGGAATCCGGAGCTGGCGACCGCGAATTGCCCGCGCTGTAAAATCGTCTCGAGATTGCTTGAAGGTCTAGTTCCTGTTAAAAGCCCCAGTAAATGATTTCTACTCGTAGGAAAGACTTATCGTCAGATGAAAGAGCGACGCTGTAATTTTAGACGATCGAGGTTGCAATCCGTTCGAAATTATTTGTCAACCAAAAATGGAGATTCGATCGGTTTGAACGACCAATCGGAGTTCTCCGTTTCAGGTTGCTCCATTACTTGGTTCCTTCCATCGACTTGCACGCAATGAAACTGCATTATTAAGAGGTTTCGCAACGTCCTGTGTCCGGTCGTCGGCCTTGCAACGATCGTTTTGAAAGCGGGATGGGAAGCATGACGAAACAAAGCCAAGCGAAGCGAAATATGCGATAAATGCCAGTGTTTCGCAACGGCGTTGAGCTTGATCCTCTCTGTAATCGGATCAACGAAGACGAGCCTCTCCCACCTCCCTCTGGATCTGACTACCTTTTGTCTTCCCGGCAAACAATCGCACTAGCACGGTGTCTTGAAGCCGTAGATCGAGTAAATCTTTGGTTAAAGTGTTATTCGAATACGCTTTCAACGGTCATTTCATTGCCCGAGTTATTGTAGCAGCTAATTCCCTGGTCATTTTCCAAGTATAATTCGTGTACGGGATGAATAAATAGAAGCAGTGCTCGGAAATAATTATTTATTAATAAATCGATTTAAACAGTTATTTTTATATAATTCTGGAAATACGAATCCTGTTGTGTTCCAGATTTAAAAAAATACATAAATTAATATATTTGATGAAATATAATTAATTTTTTCATGTAAACGGACTTTTAGTTTCAAACCTAAAAGCTTCCCAACGCTGTGGTCGGTACATTTCTACAACATTCGTTTCCTCTCTATTTTTCCATTTGATTATCCAAAGTAACGAGCCGCTAGTTTTTCCACGTGTCCACATTTTTACGAATCAACGCGGTCGCGTTTGACAAACGTGCGAAATTCTTTCGTGACACAACGTGGCATTTCACCGAACGAGAAAGGAACGCGCACCTAATATTAGGTTGATGCATGTGGAACATATACATACTATGTATAGTTCTGTTCCTCACGTTTCTATTTTTCAGCCTTCCATCATGTTTCTTCTGATCATTCACTATTATGAATCAAATTGTAGATAAAATAATATAGCTTTTTGTAGCTGCTATTTAATTAAAAGAAATGGCAATACAATTAATCAGTATAATAATCGAAGCAATGGCTGGATTTGTATAACCAGATTATATTTACATAGTACATATTTTACAAATGAATGCTGCTGAATTATAAACGCACTAGCGGAACAATTTGCAGATTGCAGGAATTGCAATGTTTAATACCAGCCAAATTATTAATTTAATCATCTAACAATTTAAAATAATTCGGAAAAACGTATTTGAATTTTGCACGAACGACATTTATTATATTTAGAAAGAACATTTCATATGCGCCAATCTAATATTAGAAATATTTCAATGGCAGTGCGCCGCGCTACGAAATATGCAAATGCAGCCGCACGGTGTTTCTTTTCGCTTTATCCTATCCTATCGCGCGTAAAATACGGGAATGCTTGTTGCGCGGTCATTTACCAACCGTAATGGAGCGGCCGCGGTGATATTTATGCTGCTAGGTCTGTGCGCTCGCATTTTTGAGCTCGTACTTTCTCGCAATATGTATTGACGCAACGCGGCGCGGAGCTTGCACTGCAAGACGTACGAGTGATAAATACCCAGTGGCAAATGACAGTTTTCGTGTAAAATTTGAACGAAACGAAAAGCACGTTATACCGTTTTGATAATGAATTCAGTTTTGCAATATTACATTTTTTTAATTATATTAAAATACTTATAATTCTTGTAAATTAATTTTTGCACTAACGAAAATATTTATTATTTATAATTAGAAATTTGTTTATCAAAGATCAACCCAACCAACCTCAAATTTTGTATAGACTGTTTATACAAATGACTGAACTAATTTAGGCAAACGGAATGTTCGTAAACGAGTCATCCACTTGCATTAGTTGTTTATTCATTCGGTAGCCGCGAACAATTTTCGTTAAACGCTGAGGCAACTTCGGAATTAGCCCCGGAAGGTAGAACGAGAAGGGGTGGAAACTGTAGGAGGGACGGTCGAACATTCAAATGGGCTTAAACGCTCGCGTTCATTCTTTTTAACCTGGACGGAGTAAAGGAGTAATTACGCGGTGGGAGAGAGGATTGTGGGGGGAGGGGTGGGAGGAACTCGCCGACTCGGTCTCGATATACGCGATCGGGAATAATTCTTTTCACGTTCACCGGTTGCCATGGGTAATTTGCCGAACGGAATGAGTGTCTGCTTGGCTCTTTCTTCCCATAAAGAACCGGTATTTCCAGAAGCGGTTCAAGTTTACCCGCCAGGGACGGTGCTCTTCGAATAAATTCGATTAGGGTATTAAAAATGTGAGGTGGATCGTCGGTACAGTTGAATTAGTCATTTTTATTAAAGTATAAATTTTCGGAGGAGGCCGGGTAGTATAATAAATTCTTTGCATTGTTTGCATGAAGATTTATATCCCACAAAAAAAACAAGTTTGGAACATCACGTGAAAAAATAAAAGATCTATGTTCCTTGCAATCCTATAAAACTGCAACGATGAACCGAAACATGCGATTCAATCGAATAAAAAACAACAGAATAAAAGCATATGCACATGTATGCCGGGTTCAGTAAAAGAGGAACAGGAAGGAAATATTGAAAAGAGTCGATGTAAACGACGTGACAGAAACACAAGTTCCAACCTCGCTAAGGGAAGGGTCACTGGGTAGGAGGGGGACTTTGAATGACATCGTTGCAATCGCAGCGAGCGATTCTATTTATCGCGCTTTATTTGCATTCGCGTCGGGTTACACGCGATTTTTCGTCTCCTCAGTTCCGTCTCCCTTTCCCCACGTTTACGGGACCGAGCCCTGTTCGACCCTCGAGTCCGGGTGCGGCGATCCCTGGGAAAATTCCCCGCGTCACGTCGACACGAAAATCGCATTCGGCCAGGTCGCACGATGCGCTGCGCTGCATCGCGAGCGCGCGAATTTATGACGCGACATGTCTTTGCCATGCTCAGCACTGAAAAATATTGACGCCACCACGGGTACAAGCGTACGCACAGGCGAAGGGATTCCCTTAGGCACCAGAAAAAAGTTATTTCCTGTAAAATACGCGCGCGTATTTCCAGATTTATGAGCTTTCACTGAGTTTTTATTTTACATCTGTTGTAATTCTTCTTGGTCATACTTTTAGTTGCAAAATAAACAGAAAATAATCAGTTGTATGATATTATTCTTAGGGTGTAGAAATAAGACAGTGAAGGAGTCAGATAATAAAATGAAATATAGGGTGGAGTGTCATAATCGTCAGTACATCAACAGTTCTAAATGAATTGCAATCGTTACATTTAATTATTACTTTATAATAGAATTAGGAAAATATAAATTAATTCAATTATATGCGTGCATAAGTACAAATTAACTGAATTATCACTGAGTATCCAATATTAATACCACAGATTATAGTGAACCAAGTAATTACTGTATTCCAATTACATGAAATCCTCATGAGCTTTTAATATTCTGATTATGTACACAGTTAAATCCTGCTGAAACTAGTGCAAGTGTTATTCATTACCCCCAACTCTAATTTGAATTTTCGTTGCAATTAATATAATTATTATTAGCCTCTAAAAATGAATGCTGCATGCATTATTCAATTACTTAAGTTCATTATGATAATCGCGAAGCCATCATAAATCACGTGCAACGAGGCTTTCATCCACTTTGTCATCCCCCTGGATGATTAGAATAAATTAGATGGAAATACCCTCTCTCTCTCATGTTTTATTAATAAATGACCGGTGATTCTCCAGGGGCAAAGTGCAACAGCCTGCACGTATATTTATAATTAAACGATGCTTAAAATAAGACGAGGAAAAAAGGTAGAGGAGGAACATGAGAGCGTAATTCAAGATTCAAGATCCTTCAGCGAAGTTTCACCGTTTTCTTTATTATGTTTCAGGCCAACTGGTACAGGGCGTCTCAATATTGCAGATATCATGGGATGCACTTGGCCAGTATAGCGTCGCAGGAGGAAAACGATATGCTCGAGAAGCACATCAAGGACTTCGGGCTTGGACACGAACACTTTTGGACCTCTGGCACCGATCAAGCTGAAGAAGGCACTTTCTTCTGGATGGCTAATGGCAGGCCCATCACGTTCGAGAATTGGAACGTCGGAGAACCGAACAATTTTCGGTACGATCATTTTAACTCACAATAAATTATTAAGCAATAATGTATAGTTTCTAAATACACAGGCATATTTTGCATAGTAATTTAACTCGTCTTGACCAAGCAAGCACGTACGCTTCATTTCAATGATTGATTGTTCTATCTATAGCTATTTCATGACATCATTACAGATACAGGATGTGATAACATAAATTGCTACAGGGAAGTGTGAGTGGTTTGGAAAATAGAGAAAAAGAATAAATAATAGAATTTAGTAACTTATTTAACTTTAATATTACATTCCATGTGCATTCCAAAATATGAAGTCATTTCTTGAGTATTCAATGATTAACATTGCCTACGTCATCTTATATAATTAATTATGGCCATTGTTTCAATTAAAGAGTTGAATTTAACCGAAGCGTTTGTCCCAAAGATCTTTGAAACTAGTTCTGTAACAATATAAATTATATTATTACAATGATATCATAAGAATCAAATATATCCTTACTGTAATTTAAATTTATTTATTTTCTATTTCTTTAATCTATTATAATTGCCAATCTCTTTAGTCAGTAGTATTAATAACATTACTTGTCTACTTCTATCATAAAGTTAAAATAGTTAACAATTAATAATTAACGAAATAATTAGTAGCCATTCAGATTAAAAAATTATGTAAAGAATTGAGTAATTTAATGAATTACGTACTTGCGGCAAAGGCAGACACCGTTCTCGCAACGTCCTCCGGCTTTACCCATGCTAAGACAATTCGCAGCGCAAGCAGAATGCTCTGCAATTCCCTTGAAGGACAGAAGATCGCAGGTCACTCTTCTTTGTCGGTTGGCACGTTCTTCGGCAACTACCGTTTCAAGGGGCTCATATTCATCTTCTGAAATTTAAACAATTAAAGACGTCCACGTTTTTAATAATTAAATAAATATTACTAAATATGTCCAGGAAAAAAATTATTTGACATTATCTGAATGACCAAGTACTTTTTACATTGCAAAGTTGTACAAACGTAGAAGTGATGAGTGTGATAAGCAAGTAAAAATTTGTCGCTTACCCACTGGTGCAGCCGTGATAGCGGCAATGGCTACCAAACAAAGAGCGAAAAGGAAGTAAATCTTCATCATTTTGGTTGAGTTTCAAATTATTCCTCGAGATGAACGAATGAAGATACTTGAAGTCTGACTAATGACCGAAGAGGAACTCAAGCGTCTTATATATCAATCATTTGTGTATACAACTGTTTCTTCACTGATCCGAGACGTGTGGGTAAATCCCCGATAAGAGCAAGAGAAGCGTGTGGTTGTGAAAATCAAATCAACTTTCGTGATTAGAAGTAGTTATATTAGCAATAGTCAATGTTTTCCAAAACGTAATTTATTCACATATTTTATTCTAATTGGAACGATAGCGTTTAGATGTTTCCCAGCTGAATATGCGAAAAGTGATTACACATTCTTTTAAGTTGAATGATCTCTTATTGTCTCGAGTTACAATGTGCCTGTTAATGAGCAGTTTTTTCATGTTAATGACAGAGATAATACTTATATAGCAAAGTTGTACAAACGTAGAAGTGATGAGTGTGATAAGCAAGTAAAAATTTGTCGCTTACCCACTGGTGCAGCCGTGATAGCGGCAATGGCTACCAAACAAAGAGCGAAAAGGAAGTAAATCTTCATCATTTTGGTTGAGTTTCAAATTATTCCTCGAGATGAACGAATGAAGATACTTGAAGTCTGACTAATGACCGAAGAGGAACTCAAGCGTCTTATATATCAATCATTTGTGTATACAACTGTTTCTTCACTGATCCGAGACGTGTGGGTAAATCCCCGATAAGAGCAAGAGAAGCGTGTGGTTGTGAAAATCAAATCAACTTTCGTGATTAGAAGTAGTTATATTAGCAATAGTCAATGTTTTCCAAAACGTAATTTATTCACATATTTTATTCTAATTGGAACGATAGCGTTTAGATGTTTCCCAGCTGAATATGCGAAAAGTGATTACACATTCTTTTAAGTTGAATGATCTCTTATTGTCTCGAGTTACAATGTGCCTGTTAATGAGCAGTTTTTTCATGTTAATGACAGAGATAATACTGTTCTGATGAATGCTTATCAGAATTACGAAAACGGCTTATAACAAGATAAATGTTATCGGCATAAACGACGTTCGAACCTGCTATTTGTATTATTAAATTAATTTTCTATTCAAGTATTAAAAAAATGACAGAGAAATTACGTATTTTTCTCAACAAACATCTTAGTTTAAATTGCCGAATTGTTACGTCCTCGTTGATGATCTTATGCTATCAAGACTATTGTTTTATACAAAAAAAATGTGCTTATTTGAAGAAATGTTTATATGCTTAAAAAATCATGTCTTTATTTCATAAGTACATATCGTGACATTTCCTTGTTTCAGTACATGGGGATTTACCGAATGTGTCGAGTTTTCCTTAAGTAGATAAGGAGGGGAGTTACGGTTTCTATAAATATACGCGTGCATACGTACATAAATAATCGCAACTTGCACTTTCCTGTTCGTTTATTTTCATAACTAAGAAATTTATTCTTCGCAGTTTCTTATTATCCGTGAACCGAAAGACATTTGCGAAGTGGATAGTGAATTAAGTGATGCGTTGCAATCGGTTTGTACGTCAGTCTTCAGATTCAAACGTGCCTTCAACAATCGCTACCACGTCCCTTGATTCGTGCGAAGCATTTTTTATGCATGAATGCAAAATCAGGAGAATATTCTGATCGAGTAAAGAGAGTCGATTTTCATGAAGGTTAATTCAACGTGTTTTGTTACAGATACGAAAACGGCGAAGAGGAGCACTGCCTGGAGCTGTGGAACAGGGACGGGAAGGGCCTGAAGTGGAACGACAGCCCGTGCAGCTTTGAGACGTTCTTCGTCTGCGAGGTGCAGTGATCGATCGATTGGCGGGATAAACTGAACGAAAAACGGATCCTAGAGTCATCGAACCGCGCGATTCGATTCACGATACATCGGCCGTGTACCCGCGTCGCGCACCGAGTCATCCTGGCGGCTATTGCCTCATCGATTTCCTTGCGTTGCGTTTTTCCCTCCCGGGACCGCGGAACAAAATGGGAAAGTGACTCCGTGTACGTGTGTGCAACTGCGTAGACCTCGGGTGAACGAGCGTTACGAACGCAGCGGATGGGTGTGGGTGAATCGATCAGGGAGGAACTGGATCTTGTTTGCGAAGAAATAGTGGTAGGGCGGTGAACACGGCGATTAGGAAGCATTAAAGATGTCCCCGTGAAAATGGGATTTTGTGCTTGGACTGCAATCTCGAGTCACGAGCTCTTTAGAAGGAGTGTGCTTTATTTTTATTACCCGTGATGTCCGTGCGTTCTACTTCCGCTCTTGGTGAGAGTCATTGTTGTTGGTGGTAAGCAGAAACAATGGGAATGTCCCCTTTTTATTCGATGGATTGGAACTGATGAAGGAACGGGTTCAAAGAACAGCTGGTGATCTTAGTATTGCGGCTATCGTTGGTATCACGTTGCCTTCGTGTTCTGTAGATAATACATCAGTTGTTTCTTGGATAAGGACTCACAAAATTTAATAGTAATGTTATATATGTATAGACAGTCGTTTAATGCAGCAATTGTGTTCGCATAATATTTGTAATAGATAATAATATTGACTAGAAAATGAGTGTTTATGTAGTAGTACGAAAAGCTCTAAATGAATTTTCTAAACGATTTTAAAATCTATCGATTCGTTATGTTAATCAATTTTTTATTTACGTTACCAAACGAGACACTATTGTAAGACAGTTAGTGCATGAATTAACGATTTAACCGAATAACATAGAAATTAATTTATCTTTTAATTAATGTCAAAGAAATTAGATAAAATGCGTGAAAATCGTCGGTAACCATGTTTATTAAATGTAATGGAGATAATTGATGATCAATCTGATATATGAACGGAATACACTTAATACGAATTCCGCTGGAACTGTACATCACTTAGCGTTATGTAATAAAATTTAAGTTACATTTTAACGTTCTCTGTTTCATTTTCCCAGAAGTTTAAGGTAACAAAATGAGATAAAACAATTT